GTTTTTTTTTGGCTTTCTTTTTCGAAAAAGTTCGAAAGCAAAAACGGAATGATGGGGGCGATGCCATGTACGATCAAAGATCAGTGGTTGCCATGTAGGGTCAGTGGTTGTGGAATATCGAACGGAGGGCTGATCTCCTCTCCCCCACAAAGTGCCATGGGGATTCACTGTTTTTCTGTTTTTTTTGGTTTGTTTTTGTTTTCTTTTTCGAAAAAGTTCGATAGCAAAAACGGAATGATGGGGGGCGATGCCATCTAGGATCAAAGATCAGTGGTTGCCATGTAGGATCAAACACCAGTGCTTGCCATGTAGGATCAAAGACCAGTGGTTGCCATGTAGGATCAGTGGTCATGGCACCCACGAAGTTTTTTTTTTTGTTTTTCGGTTTGTTTTCGTTTTCGAAAAAGTTCGATTTCGGTTTCTTTTTTGTTTCCGTTTTCGGTTGTGGAACAGCGAACCAAGGGCAGATCAGTGGTTGTGGCCCAGAACGTCGACGGAGGGGATTTGCTGTTTTTTCTCTTTTGTTCTTCGTTTTTTTTTTTGTGTTTTTTGATAACTTCGATTTCGGAAGAGGGCATGATGTGGAGATGCCATGAATGATGGGGCGATCATTTTGTTGTGCCCTACCCCCTCCACCGTTTCCGCACGAGGGTCCGGCGGATTGGAAACACCGGACCTCCGACACCCGTGCACGGTCGGGGTCCGGCATTCCCAAACCACCCTACCCCCTCCACCCTTTCTGTACGGGGGTCCGGCGGATTGGAAACGCTGGACCTCCGACACCTGTGCACGGTCGGGGGTCCGGCGTTCCCAAACCGCCCTGCCCCCTCCACCCTTTCTGTACGGGGGTCCGGCGGATTGGAAACGCGGGACCTCCGACACCCGTGCACCGTCGGGGGTCCGACGTTCCCAAACCGCCCTTCCCCCTCCACCCTTTCTGTACGGGGGTCCGGCGGATTGGAAACGCCAGACCTCCGACACCCGTGCACGGTCGGGGGTCAGGTGTTCCCAAACCGCCCTACCCCTCCACCCTTTCCGCACGGGGGTCCGGCGGACTCGAAACGCCGGACCTCCGACACCCGTGCACGGTCGGGGGTCCAGCGTTCCCAAACCGCCCTACCCCCTCCACCCTTTCCGT